GAATATTTCTGCAGTCACCTGCATAGTTTTCAAGTTTCCTGATTATTCATGCAGTTAATCCATTAATTTATTCAGTTACCTGAGTATATTACGAGTTGCTTGAAAATTTTTCCAGTTGCCTGAATATTTAACCAGTAGCTTGAATATGCCTCTAGTTGCCTGAATATATTTTAGTTGTCTGAATATATCTATTTGCCTGAATATTTCTGCCCGGGATATTTTTCAAGTTGCCTGATTATTCATACAGTTGTCCAATTAATTGCCTCATAATTTAGCGAATTACCTGAGTATTTGGAAATTATTTTTGTATTTAGAAGAATTTTTAGTACTTGGCCTAAAATTCAGGAATTGCCTGAATATTTAGGAGTTTATTTTGTGTTTAGCAAATTTCCTAAGTTTTTAGCGAATTGACCTAGAATTTAGCGAATTGCCTGAGTATTTGGAATTTTTGTATTTAGAGGATTTCCTGAGTACTTAGCCAAATTTTGTTTTTTGCGGATTATTTTGTGTTTAGCAAACTTCCTAAGTATTTAGCGAATTGCCATAGAAATTAGGGAATTGCCGGAGTATTTGGGAATTATTTTTGTATTTAGAGGATTTCCTGAGAACTTGAAGAATTACCTGACTACGTGAGGAATTAGAATTTAGCGAATTGCCTGAGTGACTAGACGAAGCATTTGGAAATTATTCAATTATTCAAATTGATTGAATTTATCGATTTTCCTGAGTATTTATTTAGGGCATCATTTTTGTATTTGGCAAACTCCCATTCTAGAATTTAGCGAATTGCCTGAATATATGGCGAATTGCCTGAATATTTAGCGAATTGCCTGACTAACTAGATGAAGTATTTGGTAATTATTCATGTATTTAGCGAATTGCCTGAGTATTTAGGGCATCATTTTTGTATTTGGCAAACTTTCATTCAGCGATTTCACCTAAAAATTATCGAATTGCCTGAGTACATAGCGAATTGCTTGAAGTACTTAGTCGAAGTATTTGGAAATTATTTATATATTTTGCAAATTATTTATATATTTAAAAAATTCAACGAGTATTTGGGGCAACATTTTTGTATTCGGCAAACTTTCTAAGTATTCATTAGTGGTTTCCCCAAGAATTCAGCGAATTGCCTGAGTATTTATTGGATTGCCTGAGTTTATATAATAATAATAATTTTTATTTACGGAATTATTTTTGTATGTAAGAAATTTACTGAGGATTTAACGACTTGTTCAAGAAATTATTTATGCAATTTCTTGATTATTTATTAAGTTGTCCAACTATTTATTCAGTTAACGAGTATTTAGATTAGCTGAGTGTTTGGGTTTTTACCTGAATATCCAACCAGTCGCCTGATTGTTCATCTGTTGTTTTTCACTTGCCTGATTGTTCATCACATCTACATAAATCTTATTAATTTATCTAGTTATCTCAGTGCTGAGATCTTATTACCCTGAATATCTCAAAAACTAATATTTAATATTGCCTGAAATATTTAACCAGCTACCTGAGAATTTATCATACTTCTACACATAATTAGACATTCTACATTTATATGTACTATTTTTTTTGTTTTTCAGAACTTATAAATTGAACATAAAACGAAGAAATAAGAAAGAAGATTGTGAATTCAAAGTGCCACTCGATATAAAAAATATATTTATAAAATGTTGAATAATTCAAAGTCTACGTTAACACGAGTCGATATTAATAAATATAATTAATGAACTAGTCTTAATAAGAAGTGAAATATATATAAATAAAAATAGTGCTATAACAATAACAACGTGAACTTCCTTGTGAGCTGTGATAATTATAATGTGAACTTTTGTATATATATATATATATATATATATATATATATATTATATTTTATATTTTACATATTAAAATAGCTGGTCAAGCCCCCTTGAAGTAAAACTAGATTTACCATACTATTTATCCTAATTTATAATTTGTTATTCCTACTGGATTTGTGTAAAAATTAATTTTGTAACATTTTACATTTAATAATTAATTTTATAAATTTTTTATATGGTATCGGTATTTATATTTCACATTTTTATTCTATGTGTAAGTAAATTTTTATGATATTATAAATTAGGTCATTCCTCGGGTGCAATTATAATAAAAATACATATTAATTTTTATGATGGTACAAAATTTGTTATCGATATTTAATTATATAATGAAGACTTTGATTTGTACCTGTCGAGCATCATTTGTTATTACATGTTACTTTTATTTTATTGTAGTCATTAAAATATTATATTTTTAGTGTAAGATTTTATATTTTAAGTGTAGGATTATGCCATATCGTTTTCAATATGCAAAGACTGAATTTTAAATACATATATGGATATATTTTTAATTGGGGTTTTATTTTTTTAAGTCAAACTTCTAATGAGACTTCTTACAAAGGTTGCATTAAACGAGTAAATAGAAAAAGACCAAGTGAGAATTGTTTGTTGAAAATGCTGAAAATATTTTAAGTTGTGTTAAAATTGTGTTGTAGATACTCTGAAAATTTTAGAGATTGCCTGAAAATATTTTGCTATTTTTCAAGATTTATATTTAATATATACAAGTATGAATACTTTTATATTAATATGTATATAAAAGATTACATTTTATATTAGTTTTTTAGTGTAAAACTGACTAAATTATTATTTTAATAATAATATAAAATTACTATTCTATTCTAATTCTCTTATAGTCTCCTGTTTCACACTACTACTTGGCAAAGCTCCAACTTCCTTCAGCAAATCCATTTTATTGTTGAAGTATTCCCTAAACCACTCGATGTGATTAATCTTCTCCTGCACCGTCAAATAAGGATTCTTCGACAAACCCACACAAACCAATTCCATAAAATGTCTAACCGGTCCTTTCTCCGGACACCATCCCTCCAAATGTTTATCCATAAACACATGCTCTGTAAAACAAACACCATGTTCCTCCAAACCTTGTTCATTATCGATAGGAAACTTCCACAACTTTCCTTGCTCCGTCCACAAAATCATCTTTTGGAAATAGTTTTCAGGCGGCTGCATCACTGCTAGTTTCAATTCCCGTTGAGTAAGTGCTTCGGTTGTGTATAAAAGATTCTCACAATTGTATTGGGCATCTTTTTGGAATATGTTTAAACCGACACCACCGAATAGTTCTACACGGTTGCCTGCACGTGGTGTGTGTTTTCTGGTGGAACGTTTGTCTTTGTATTGCTTGACTTGTTTGTTGTTAAGGGTTTTTTGGACGTACTGGGCACGGGTTGTGGGGATTTCTTGCTTTTTAGATCTATCTATCTTCATGCCTACGATTAAGTCTGTTAGATTTGTCATTGTGGTTTCTTCTTGATGTTTGTGGAGTAATAGTTTTGCTAGTAGTTCTGATTCGGTGTGTTGTACATCACCACCTACATGCTCAGCGACTTCTTTAGTAGCCTTTACAATTTCAGTTGTTAAATCTTCAGGTAAGGCTTTGGTTTTTTCTTTTATGTCTTTCTTTTTAAATACTCTAGGAGTAGCTTTAGCGAATAGTTCCATTTCAGGTTTTTTGGGTGCTTCATCTAACATAGCTTGTAGTAAAGATTTTAATTTTTCTTTTGAGTCATTACCTTTATTATCACAAAACTTTCTGTGAGATAACCTCAAATTTTGCAAAGCACTTTTGCATGCATTTTCAAGTAACAGAACTTTATTCATGGTGAAATAATTATTTATTAACTTACTTTCAATATTAACTGATTAATTACAGCCAATATATATGCATTTACATATAATTTAAATTAAATAACTTGACATTTCGTTTGTGGGCAAGTGCATGGTTGCCAATGAAATGTAATTGAAGGTTAGGTAGTTTTGATTCAAAATTTTAATTGTAGAAATAAGATAATTTTAGCAAATTTTACATAAATTGAGGTAAATAACAAAAGTAATAATTATGTTTTGAGTTGCAATCAATATTTAAAAAGTTTACAACCAAATGTACCAAATGTTTCAATCAACTTACAGGCAGAATACAAATTTAAATACTATTTTAGTAAATAGTAACACAACAATTATGATTATACACAACAATTGTGATTGTAAACTAATAAATATTAAGCAACATGTATTATTTATGCTTCCTGAATGTTCTAAATAAAGTTTTAATAATAAGTTAATTTACCTTCATGACGTTTATCATACAGCATGCAGCAATGCACTATTTAAAGATTCTAGAAAGCCCACAATAACACTAATTAACACTAACAATGATACAATAAATTAAATCAACACTTTAATTCTATATTAATGTAAATTTATTAATAACACAACATTTTCAAAACTTTTTGTTGTGATATTTTGAACATGGCGCGACATATTGGTTTCGCCCAGTGGTTCTTAACTTTTAACCCCAAATAATTATTGTGATATTCCAAAACCATATTGACACTGTACTGTTCAAGTATTCAATTATAAATTAAATTAAAATATATAATTATTCATATTTATATTTTCAATAATCACTTATAAAAGTTTGAAATAATATTTTTATATTTGAAAAACGTTTGAGAATCTCTACTCCAGTATGAACTTGTTCACAAATCGCTTGTCAATGGCGGCTTCTCCATTGTATTGAAATTTACGCTTGTAGTGCTATTTCTTGTGTAGTAAAATGGTAATAATTAATGAATTACATAGTAAAACTTAAGATTTACGTTAAAGAAATGTAGTAGAGTAGTAGTGCGTAAAAATTTGTGCGTATTTTTAATACTCGAGACACCCGTATTTATAATTATACAAGGTGTTACGTGGAGACATATACAAGCGTCCTAATGCAGATATATATTTATATATACATATATATCTCGATTAAATGCACAATCAATATTGGCTAAAAATACTTGTTGCAATAGCTAAAATTATATATACATCAAGTTTTTATTAGTAGTGTTGAAAGTTCTTTTAATGATGACATTATGGATGCAACTCTAAATGTTTTTTCCACTTGTAGATTATATTGATATAAAGCTGAATTGAAGTAAATAAAATCATGGCGAGCCCTTCGCCCCAAAGCAGCCCTATGCCGCCTCCTCAGGTAAATGATAAATTATATATATAAAAAGATCTTAAAATAATAAATGGTTAGGAAATTTCTAGATGGTAATGAATTACTTGTTAGTTTACACATATACAGTAGAACCTCAATTAACCAGACTAATTGTTGTCGATAGAGGCATCCGGATAATCGAAAGTATGAAGAATAATGTTGTGTTTTTATTAAAAATAACAAATACATACATAGATATCAACAAAAATAATGTTTATTAAGAAATTGAAACTTTGTTATGTATGTACATATATTTTTCTTAGATTACATTACATACATATACTAAACGCAGAATTAATCATGCAAAAAATTACAATTGTAGGTATGTACATGCATATAAATTAGTCACTGTTGGTAGTCCAGATAATCGCAAATCCGTATAACCGAGGTCTGAATAATCGAGGTTCTGCTGTAATTGTTTTATATTGATAAAACTATTTTGTGCTTCGACAATTGTAATTTTCATATTTAAGTAGCTTATGCTTAGTTTGAAGCACTAATTCAAGCTAAATGTTTGTTATAATAATATGTTCTATTGTTGGTTTAATCCAAGAGAATATATACAATGTCTTTTATGTATAAATATATATTTTTTATATTATTTTACCGGGCAATGTTGAGGGAATTGGAATGAGCCTCCCGGGTTCAGATATTATATAGAGTTTTAGATAATAATAATATCTTATGCATATAATATTTACGGATGGATTTTAACTAGAACTAATAAATTTCTATTCTATTTTATTCTTAATAAAAGGGTTGAAAGTTTCAATAAGTTACAAAATTAAAGTAACTCGTACAGCAGTATAATTCCATTTTTAATATAGAAAATTATCCAATTAAAATAAAACTTTCTATCTGAATATACATTATACAAATATTATTTATGAATAAAGAATTTGAAATAATATTTTTGCCTTATTCTTGGCACGAAGAATCTTTGTTTGATTAATTATTTTATTAAGACAATCATGTTAATATCTTTTATGAAAAAAACGTATTTAAGTAGTTCAGTTGATTTTACCAGACTTCTGTCGAGTTTTTAAAATTTTAATAAATAAATTTAATAAAAATTGAATTGAATTGATAATCTTATGCAATTTTTAAGGAATCTTATGAACTTAATGATCATTATATAAATTATTATCATACATGATAAATTGATGAAGTTTGTTCATTTTTATTTAATATAAAATACAGAAATAACATTTTCATATACTGGAGAGCATTTCCATAAATATCTTTTTTGTTCAATTTTATGGTTGTGCTTACAATGTCTGTATTAATGCTTCGAGTTATTTATTTTGATAATTAAGTGGTTTTAATTAAAAATCAATACTTAACAATTGAATGATGATTTTATTAGAAATCGATATTTTTTGTACACTTTTGTTTTTGTATATAAACTCATAACATGCTCAATCTAACTTGGAGCTAATTTGCTCCATATACATTATAATTTAATTATATATACATTACATTACTTAGTACATCATACAATTTTTATTATATTTTTTTTTTTACCAGGCTCCAAGTCCTATGGGACCACCCTCACAAAGTCCGGCACCACCGCCTTCTCCTCACAGTCCTTACAGCCAAGGTCCTCCACCACCGCAGCAACAACAGCAGCAAGGTCCTCCGCAACAGCAAGGACCTCCACCACAACAAATGGGTCCTAATGGAATGGGACCACAAGGGCCTCCTCCGAATGGAGGACATATGGTTCCACCACATCCACAACAGTTCGGAGCTCCTCAGCATCCTAATATGCCACCAGGTAAAAATAACAGAGTTATAAATTGACAAATAAATAACCGATATTGTTTATATATATATATATATATATATATACTAGATGACCCGTCAGATGTTGTCCTGTACCAACGTCTACAATTCAAAAGTTTCAAATTTTTTAATATCCTATTTGATGTCCTGCCTCTGTGATTCATTTATGGTCTTAGCATAAGCAGTATACACTTCAGAACAAAATAATACAATATCTGCGGTAAAAGAACAATATAACATTTGATTTTACCACACAACATAATTGTTTCAACAATTCAGTCTATAATTTTCATAATCTTGTATGAAATGTTAGTTGCTTTTTGGCAATTATAATTTTCAAAGTACATTTTTCTTACTAATAATTTAATAAACATTATTGTTTATGTTCAAATCTTAGGCAAACTAATTTGTAAAATCTAGTTCATATGGTGCACTCTTCAATCTGAGATTAATTAAATTTACTAAATATTTGTTTATATTGTAAAATAATTTAGTAAAGTTAACCAAAATGTAACATGCATAAGTTTAAATAAATAATGTATATGCAATTTTAGACTTGCTGCGTTATTTATTAAACTGAATTCTATAATCTGCCAAACATATGAACTGTATCTTATATTATTTTAATTTCTCGCACATCTCAGCTGCTTTTTGGCAATACTAAAATGTAGACATTACATTTTTCTTGTATATTATATCCTAATATTATCCAGGCTCTTAATTTCAACTAAATTTAAATTTCAAGTAAATTGACATTTCTAGCAGATGACAGATGTTTCCAATGTCAAACAATGATAAGTGTTTTTTTTGTGATTTTTGCCGTTTATTTCTACAATATTACTATAGTTTTATGGTTCATTAAATCTTAAAAATCTCGTTTGACATAATCTAAAAAGAATTATCAAAATGCAAATAACCGTTCAGGAGAAGTAATCAAATCATACGTCTGTACAGAATAATTTTATATATAAGAAATTTTATTTGAATAAGATAATAGTATTCTGTATAAAATTGTAGTTGTTTTTTTATGATTTTTAAATTGATGTTCTTTTACAATCATATTGGTAACAAAATTGAAGAAATGTATTTACCTATATATTTTATAATTTTTATTATAATTACAGGTCATCCTGGTGGTCCAATGGGTCCAGGACAACCTCATCCTGGAATACACGGAATGCCGCCTCAGGGACCACCTATGGGCTATCATCCGATGCCTCAACATCCTAATCAGGTAATTACATGCTAAAAATACATTAATAGTAAAATATGATCTAATAAATACAACATTAAAATATTCAATAACAATTATAGAAATTTAATATTATATTTTTGAAATTAACAGATGACTGGCAACAGTTCAGTACAGTTGAGAGAAAATTATTATTGTCCAGAGATTTTGAGTTTTATTATTTAACTAGATGACCCGACAGACGTTGTCCTGTACCCATGTCTACAATTTTTTAATATAATATACTAATATTTACCGTTAACCTAAAAATAATAATTACTGTTTTTCAAATTACTCTTCACACCAAAATGCGTATACATTTTACAATGGAAGCGATGTTAAATGTAGAACTGCTTTAAATAAAATAATGAATCTCAATTCCTACACTATATTGGTAATTGAAGTCTTTTAAACGGTATTGGACCCGGTCCTGATTAATACTTAATTTCATATTTTAAGTGAATTAATTTGTCATATCCTGTTTATGTGTGTATCATTCAATCTGCCATACATATACTGTATTTTATTTTATTTTGATTTCTGGCACATCTCAGCTGCTTTTTGGCAATAATAATGTAGACATTTCATTCTTATTTCTTATTCATAATCATAAATTTATTATACATATTCTAACATTATCTAGGTTCATAAGTAAATTGAAATTTTTGGCAGATGATAGTTTTCATTTGATTCCAATGCAAACAGTGACATGAAAAATTTTCCATTTATTTCTACAATATTGCACATACATCCCAGTACTTTATAATCACATACATTCTAGAAAATTTCCTTAACAAACCTCAGAAAGATTTATCAAAATCCGAATAATCGTTTAGAAGGAGTATACTGTGAGTGCTTGTAATTTAATATGAACTTTATATAATAGCAATAAAGCTCAAATTGATTCTACATTTTAGTTAGGAAACGTTTGTATGTAAAAAAATAAAAGGGCTGTTTTCAGGGCTTTCCCGGCAATTTATGCGCTTACCAACACATTTTACGATTCATTTTTATATATAAGATAATTTCTTCAGCATTTAGAATTTTAGAAATGGTTAATTAGCGAAAGATTGTATTTATAAGATTGTAAATAAAATTTAAAATATTGTTGATTGAAAATCATCTTGTACACAACATATTAAAAAGTTGAGCTTAAAATATAAAAAACGTAGTGTTAAAATTCTGAAATACACCATTTATATATTTAATAACATTAAATCTTCAACTCTAATATTTCTAACTGTTTCAAGCTTTCTTTATCATTTTGTTTATTATCATTCTATAAATTACATCACCATACAATTATTATTGATTACGGCTTGCTTATGAATAAATAAATAAATAAATAGATATAATTAACCCTTCGTGAAGTTAAAAAAATGCCAATTGGCAATCAAAAATGATCATTGGACATGGACCAAATTGTCAGATATTTTAGTTTAAGATTTAGTTTTATTCTGCTTTAAAAAAAATATTTATCTATCTTTTATCTAGGGGCCAAGTCCAGGACCAATAGGTCCTCCACCTCCACAAGGACCTCCCCAAGGCCAAGGTCCGCCCATGCAACACGGCCCGCCGCCTCCGCACCACCAGCAACCGCCTCCCGGTATGCCTCCAGGACCACCAAATGCGCCACCTCAACAACAGGGACCGCCAGGACCTCCTGGGCCAGGAGGTCCACCTCAGCAACAAATGCAGGGACCACCGATGCCACCACAAGGAGGAGGTCCTATGCCTCCACAGCAGGGCGGAGGACCTCCTCCTCCTCAAGGGGGCCCTCCACCTCCGCAGGGACAGGAGAATTTGAGCGCTTTGCAGAGGACTATTGATACTATGGAGGAGAAAGGATTACAGGTAATAAATGATAGGATTTTATATATATGTATATATATAACAAAATATATATATATATATATATATATATATATATATATAACAAATGTCCTCTGAATTGATAGAATTGAATGGATAGATATTAATTTGCAAACAACACTCTTTTTTGCACTAATTTATTAAATAATAATTTTCACAAACGTTTCGAGACTAGGTTTGTCTCATCATCAGTGTGTTATAATTTAAAATTCAAAATATGGAAACCTAAATTGACATTATGTGTTATCCATTACAAGTCGTTTGATATACACATAATGCTAATTTAGGTTTACATATTTTAAATTTTAAATTATAACACACTGATGACGAGACAAACCTAGTCTCGAAATAATAATAATAATAATAATAATAATAATAATAACAAACTGCGATATGTAAATTCATGAGCAGTGATTTATATTTTTTTGTAGTATTTCTGTATTTTATATAAAAATATATGAAAACATAATTTTTGAAATAATATGTTTACTAGTAACATTTCAAATCTAATTTATTTACTGCTTTCATCATATCAATTAAAAATATTTTGTAATTAGCTATGAGCATAAATGGCTTTAATTATATTAAAGTATTTTTCTCTATTTTTCCTTTTAGGAAGATCCTCGTTATGGTCAACTTCTGGCCTTGCGTGCTAAGTACGGTCCACAAGATCCTTCAAAACAACCTTTCAGTCAGAATCAGCTCGTGCAATTAAGGTAAACATGTACTTTTCATATTATTAAACATTAAGCACGAATGAGTTTCTTGTTTGATCTCAACCTCGACCAGCATGATATCAAATTTCCACTTTTAGTTATACATATAGATTATTTATATATCACAAATATAATCCTAAGTGAAAATTGCCCTTTGCAGGCATTTCTGTCCATAAAAAAAAAATTATATAATATATAATGTAGAATATAGTATAAAAAAAAACTAGTGGTGTATTGCATCGTGCCTTAAGGCAAATTGCTGGAACTTCTCGTACCGTAATGAAATATTCGAGAAATTTTAAACGTTTTCAAATATATTATTACAAATACTGTAACTTTTATTATTTTTGCTATCTTTTGTTATATCTGAGCAAATCGAATGTAAATCAATTCAGTTCAATCTTCAGAACATTAATAATCGTCATTTCATTTCGAATTCAATTTCAAAAAAAAAAAATTGCACAAAATTGAAAAAGTGCTCCCGTATAGTCAAAAAAAGATGTAATAATTTTTTATCATCAAAAGCAATTGTTTTGTCAATACAAGCAGAAAGTTTTTTAGATCATTCGAATCGGACGCTTAGTTCACTCAAAAGCTGCCATTTTTTGCACATTTAGCTCTGTATCTTCAAAATGGCGGGAACGGTCTTTGCCAAAAACTAATCACCTCTTCTCCCATTCATTACAAATTGAATGTTTTTTAGATCATTCAAATCCGATACTCCGTTCTCTCAAAAACTCGATTTGTATTTTCTGCACTCTTTGTTCCGTATCTCTGTAACGGCTAGACCTGCCTTTGTCAAAAACTAATTAGCACATCTCCCTATCATGGGAATCGAATGATTTTTGAACCATTCAAATCGGTTGATCAGTGCGCCCAAAATCGTCGACGAAAAATTGTATCCATAAATACATACACAAACACACACACACACATTAATTTTTTCTGAGGTATACCAAAATGCTCAGAAATCTCTGAAACGTGAAGATATGAAAAAAAAATTTTTATTTTTTCGGACCATTACTATAACTTATGGGAAGTTAATAATTCATACAAATCTATTTTTTCTTCTAGAGGTCAAATAATGGCATACAGAATGTTGGCCAGGAATCAGCCGTTGAACCAGCAACTTTTGTTATCCGTCCAGGGTAAAAGACCAGATGGAGTAAATCCTCCTCAGTGCCCGACACCTCCAAGCAGTCCGTTCCAACCTGGACAGCCTGGACAACCTCCGGCACAGGTAATCATCAACAATTGAATTTGTATGTGCATTTATTTTTTACACAAAAATAGATAGATTATTTGCGCTAAATTTAATAATATATCATGTTGTTCAACATATTGCTTTACAGCAACTTGATATATGTACATATTTTAACATCTTTATTGATTGGTTAAACTACATTTTTATTTAATCTCTTTTATATTTCACATACATTTATAGTAAACAACTGATTTATCAGATAATCTTATTTAAATAGAAATTATCTACATTTTAACGTCAACATAAAATTTTGACTTTGTTTTTTTAATTGTAAGCATATTTAAATATATTGAAAATAATTTTTAAATGGTTTGATTAACCCTTTTTATTGGCACTGCTGTACATGCTAGCAAGTCATCCAAATATTTGTTACACAAAACATTTTAAGATTTTCCAGTTGATCAATCAATAAAATGTATTTAAAAATAAAACTTACAATTCCAAGAAACTAAAAGCTACATTAACAAATTAGAATAATCTGACACTGAGTTAGAAAAGTAAGTTGACATCCTGAATATCAAAAGATGGTACCAATGAGGAGTAAAATATAATTAAGAGAGCATCATAGCATTCTATAAAAGCAAAGTTTTTTTTTTTTTAATAAATACTATACCCAGCTCAAACGTCGAAGTCTAGGATAAGTTTTTGATGTCAATTTTTAACTTCCCAAAGGAGAAGTTTGTTTTCACCAAAAAATCCGGTTCGCTAATTTTATGTTTTCTCGACGTTTCAAACCATTCTGAATCCAATGAGACCAATTTTGGAAAAAGTATGCGTGTGCGTGTGCGTGTGTGTGAACAGATTTTTGGCCGTAAATCGTTGTTTTCTCAAAAACGGCTGGACCGATTTCAAAAATTTAAAAGTTGTTCGATGTATCTCGATGAGGACTATTGTTTGTCAGTTTTGCGCGACGATCGGCCATGCAGTTTCTTTATAAATCGCAGAAAGTGAAAAATATTTCGTCCACGTCTTAGCCCGCAATTCTGAATCGATTTTGAAAATTCAAAAACTGTTCGAAAGATATATAAGGAAATCGACCTGATTAGTTTTTGGTAAAGATCGGCCGGGCCGTTTTCTTGTAATAGTGTAAAATATTTTTTTTGACGATTTTTATGATTTTTTGCTTGACGGTAGATACCATAGTCTTATAGATCATACTAAAATATTACGGCCCTACAAGTCGTTTGACTTTAAAATTTCGTCAAAGTTTTCAAAAATTAGTACCGTTCGTACTTGCCTCAAGGTAAAATACCAATACCAACTAGTTTTTTAATGTCGTCCATAGACGACGCCTGTATCGAAAGGGTTAATGAAACCATTTAAAAAATCTACAGCAATTTTAATATTAAAATAAAATCTATTTAAATAAAATATTATTATTAAATTAAAATAAGTCTTATGATTTTGGTAATATGTAGTTTTATAATTTCTGTATTGGTTTATTTAGTTTGATGACATTATTCATCAAAAAATTGTACTTTCATTCTGTGACAACTTTTGTGTCTACTCGTAAAAATATTGTGGATGTCGTTTAAAAAAAAGAGTGTAAAATAATATAACCCAATATAACATTTATTTAACTATTAGATTGTCAAATATCTCCCTTCCGCTTTTTTGCTCTTGGTTTATAATACAAATGCGGAAGGGAGATATTTGACAACCTATTATAACCATTTGTGTCTCACAACCATGTCACTAACACTTTTGTCTGTCTTGTCTGTGTCCTCCTATCATCTGTCCACGTGGTGTTCCCTTTCTTGTGGGTTTTATGTGTCGTTATCCTTCACTTTCCATCGCAAAAAAGAACGGAGCTCCCCAATCGCAGCAGCAGCAGCCTCCGCCGCCTCAGCAGCAGCAGCAGCAGCCTGGTGGACCGCCGCCTCCTGGTCAGAACGATCCTTCGAGAGGCGGTCCTCCGCCTCCTCCGAATGTTGGAGGTCCGCCGCTTTCTCTTCAGCAGGGGCCTCCTCCTATGGCCCCTCAGCAGCAGCAGGGACAGGGGCCACCTCCGGGGCCTGGACAGGGACCTGGGCAGGGACCTGGGCCTGGTCAGGGGCCGCCTCCTATGCCTATGATGATGAATCAGGTAATAAGGGGAGGAGAATTTGGGAATCTGTCTAGATAAATGATTGTTGAGAATTATAAATTTGTTTATATTTTTTTGATGTCAAGGGTATTTATTATAGCACTTTGAATGTCTTAAAAAAATTATTCCCGTAGGACAAGTTATAGTAATCGCAAAAAAATCTAAAATGAAAATTTTTATATATCTTCACGTTTCAAAGGTTTCTGAATATTTTGGCATACCTTAGGAAAAAATGGATGTATGTGTGTGTGTGTGTGCGGATACAAATTTTCGTCGACGATTTCGGGAACACGGATGCAGAGATTTAAATATTTCAAAAAATATTCAATTCGTATTGATAAGGAGACGTGCTGCTTAGTTTTTGGCGCAGGCAGGTCTAACCGTTCCGAAGATATGGGGCAAAAAGTGTCAAAAACAGTAACTCAGTTTTTAAGAGAACGGAGCGTCCGATTTGAATAATTCAAAAAACATTTTACTTGTATTAACAAGATGGAGAACTGATAAAATTTTCATGATGGCAGGTCTAGCGGTTTCGGAGATCTAGTAAAAAAAGTTAAAAAAATGCCATCTGGCGGTCAAAAATGATAATTATACATATGCACATAAAATTATCAGATATTTTATACAGATTTTAATAATAAGTATGAATTTTGTTTACATTCCTATGGGTTTCGTACCAATGTTTATCCGTAAGACCACGGTGCGGCGCTTACGCGCTTAGATATTTTGTCTCTAAGCAGTTAAAGCAGTACAATTGCTTTGAAAAAAGTTCAGAATTTCCAAAATATTTCAAAATAAATTTTTCTTCAAAAAGTCCTTTTTTTCACAAAAAAGTAAATATTTGTAAAAAAATTATAGTTTCTCAAAAATCTAATTTTACAGAGTAAATTTTCAAGTAATTAAAATTAACATACATTCATTGACTGCTTGTATTTTTTTTACTCTTTCGCTGGCGATATAATCTCATTCTTTAAACAGCTGTAATATCTGTCTTGCCTAAAAATATTTTTCATTTTAATAACTTCAAAGATTTATAGAAACTATGAATAATATAGAAATAATTTCTAATTAATAAACTTACGTTTAGTACACGGCACAAATGTTTAATTTATTTTATTGTTTTCAAGGAACAGGGTAAAATATTCTTCTGATTCAGGCGTTTTTCATTAATTCAAGATTTGTACTACGATGTAACTTTAAAATGTTTATTTATTTATACCGATTTCCTTGTTGATATCGGTACGCATACAACGACAGATCTCTAT